AAATTTTTTACTGGGTTTTTTTTCGCAGTTTGGTGAAAAAAAATTTTTTTTTTTTTTTTTCTTTTTTTTATTCTTTTTTTTTTTTCTCTTTTTAAAACAAGCATACATCAAAGACGAATATAAAAAAAAAAAGATCTATTCATTGGTTGAACAACCAAAAGAAAATATAACTGTCTGTGTATTGGTGAGTATGTTCTATTGTTGAATAGATGAGAATGAAACAGATAAGATCTGACTAAATCTCATTTTTTCTTGTTAAACACTTCCGATATAGACAAGTGGTAGTGTTTTTTTTCTCATTTGTTTGATTAAATAAAGCAATATTGATGAGTCTAGCGGATTCGACGTTGATCAGAATAAATTGAAAATTTTCTGAATTCAAAGCGATTTGAAGATCATACTGTATCATGTACAATGTAGTCGAAGTTTAACAAACAGGTTTATTTTGCCTCCGTTAAAAGTATTGACTAAATATCGTTATCTATCCCGAAAACTGATTCACACTTTTCTTACATACTAAAATATACTACTAATTGACGTAAAATCCAGTCTTTTTGTAGTTTTTCTATCTTTTTGTGCAAAGATGAAACCTAAACGATGAGTGGTATCTTAAAAAAAGTATATATATATATAACCAACTGTTTTTGCATTAGTCTAATTCCAGTTCTAAAGTACTCTCTGAAAACAAAGATTTGGGTACGAAACCTAAAAGGGTATAGAGAGTGCAACCATTTCTAAACCCTTTTAGGTTTCATAGAAGAAAAGGTACGGTACGAAACCGTTTTAAGTGCATTGAAACGATTGATCAGTGCATTATTTCGTTATGTTTTTTCTTCATAATTTTTTTACAATTACAGAAGTATTAGGCATCTTTTGGATTCAGTTTTCGCTGCCCTATACTACGGAAGCACGCCTGAACTGCTGAAATGGTCCACTAGCTCAGAAAAAACAAATTTATAGAAACAAACTGATAGAATTTATGCATTCGTACCGTACCTTTTCTTTTACGAAACCTAAAAGAGTTTAGAAATGGTTGCACTTCACTGTACCCTTTTAGATATCGTACATTATCCTTCTTTTTTTTTAACAGAGTAGGGGCATGCGAAGTCTAAACAAAGATAGCCTGAAATTTCTGTTTATCTTGATACTCTTTCTAACTTTTTTTCCAGTTATTTCACATTTAGATAACTCTTGACCTGTAGAATTAACTTATTAGTTAATTCGATCAGTATATCATAAAGATATAAATGAATGGTATGTTTTAATCTGGTTAAAAAGTCAAGTGTAAGTTCAATGCCATACAATGCAAACTAATAAGATAAGAATAATTTTTCTTTATACTACAAACATGTAAACGAAAACGAATATATATATAGAACTCAGCGTGATATAATTAAAATTGTACGTGCTCTATCTGCAATAGTGATCAATACATAGACACAAAGAACACTTATCAAAAGAAAAACAAAAAAATAGATCATGATCTCAAAATTTTTCGGGAAAAAAAAGTAGTAAAGGATCGTTTATTTAAACTAAATGCGTTTGAACTAAAACCGATTAATTTCAAGCTATCCGTGCGCATGATAGTAATGAATTTTATTAACTATATCAAATATTTCATTTATGTTGCAAACCCAATGTAATAAAGAGGTTGCCATGGTTCAATATTGATACCTTTAGATGATTATAATTCTTACTACCAAGTAACAATATTAAACAGCTGCATTTCTCATTTACTCTATATTAAACGTTTACATACATTAGTTTTTCATGTTGGAAAAGTGCTGTTTGCCAGTTATTGATGTGAAAACGACAATAACAGAATTAGTCAGCACGCAGTGTCCTTCTCTATTCATAATGCGAGTCGATTATACCCACATAATCAACATGAAAGAGTAAAAATAGAATTGTTTAAGTCAGTTTACTATTTTTACTAGAAAAACTAATATTAGAGTCATCAACGCTAACTATAATGGTTCAAGATTTTGAAATTTTTATACAAATTATAATATGCACTATTCAAATTTAAGATATAATCAAAGTATTAAAACTGTTACTTATTCTAAACGAGTATACACCCCTTCAGAAAAATTTCATCACTCGGAAAAACGTTTTCAAAGACTAAAACATAAGATTTTATAGCTTTCCTAGATATTTCTCACTACGAAACAATTTTAGATATTTTTTGCACTTCACTGATGGTGGCTGTAATATTTATCTTATTATCATATAATTGAATATTTCTGTTTTCTGATATTCTGAGATCAGATAGTACTCGTATCAATCTTTAGTACAACGTATCGCCAGTCTACGTTGAATACATGCATTGTATCGCTTGTTACGATGATTTTTTATTATGAATTTTCAGTTCAGCGAGAGAATTTTTTTTGATAACGAAATCAGAGAGAACAGACTATGGCTGTAGTTTTTTCTTAAAAAACAAAAAAATACAGATTATTAATACAGTTATGGTTACTATAATGAAAGTAAATATTTATATCCTTGCCTATTATTCTGTATGAAATAATAAACTGTAATATTTTGTATACGCACATTCGTCTTTGTACATCGTACTAAAAAATGTCCACAAAACAGACATGGTCGTTTGCTGAAAAATTTCCAAATAATATTTTTCATTAAAAAGGAAAATATTGAACAAGATTACGTGTGCATCTATGTGCCTCTTATGTGCAATTGTAAAAGTAATATAAAAAAATATATTCTTGTAAACATTTACTTTGTCATTCATTTTTGTTATTCATTTTGTGATTCATTTGATTCATTTTGATTATTATTCAATTCAAAATTCGTTGGAACTAAAGAATTTTATCAAAAAACGTGGGCAGCCAATAAGTGGACGTGCAGCTTTACAAGACTGAATTTATAAAAATAGTTTTGTTGTTGTAAAAGTAACATCGCCGTATGGTACTAAATACTTATGCATATTACACGGATTTTTTGCGTACGAAAGAGAAAAATTGATATTTTCCTTGA